GGAGAGATGGAAGCTTTAGACAGAGAAGATCTCTGTTTATCAACAGGGTAGTTTACAAGCAGGCAGCTACACTGCAGTACATAGACAACATTTCTTCAGCTGATCTGGTTAATTAAAATGCAAGCTTACAACAGGCTCTCTTAGAGCTGCAGCTGAATAATCCATGGCTTTTTACCCCTGCAGGGCCACAGTGCACTTTGGATAAATGGGACAATTCCAGGAGAGTTTAATCAGAGAGTTTCAATCTGCATCTTTTGGGGAGGTGGATCTCTCCCACCCTCCCTCTCCCCTCTCTCCCTCTCTTTCTTTCTTTCTTTCTTTCTTTCTTTCTTTCTTTCTTTCTTTCTTTCTTTCTTTCTCTCTAGCTCTCTCTTTACTAACTGGCAGGCACACCAGAGTACTCCAGGCTTGTGGCCAGTGCTTAATTTCTAAAATGAGAGGCAAGGTGCCAACTTTGAGATTTGCCTGTAAGACCATCTTTATGGACATTCCAGGTCATTAATTCTAAAGTACCTTCACAGTTAATCAACTGCAATAGTCATGGAGAAAGTCAAACTTGGTTAATAATTGTGGGTGTTTTTATTAACTGCTCCCCAATATGCTCGACAGACATTTAAGATAACATTCTAGCCCCCAGAGCTGTGTGGAAAAGCAGTGAAAACTGGGACACCAGAGTCACCAAAATCAGGGAAATGCCAAGTACCAGCCTCTGCCCGTGATAGTGAAGTTATGGCATTCTCCTCCCACTGAACCTTGCCCCATTCACACCATCTCTTCAGCATTTTAAAGGGATGCAGGCAAATTCCACAGCCCATTTCTGCCAAAAGGCAGATATTTGGAGAGTAGTGGTGTCACCTGGTGTTCCCCTAGTGGTGTCCCATTCCAGATCAACACGGCCATGTTTTTTTAATTTTACTGCTAAGATGGCAACAGTTGTTAATGAGAATGAACAAAACAAGCTAGGTGAGGCTGGGGCAGTTTGTTTTTGCTTGAATCTACTGCGAAGGGCAAATTAGTATTTCTCTTTGAACTCAGTTTGCAGCAACTAAATTAAGCTGATGTGAAGTCGAATTAAGCTGAGATCAAAGGGGGGAAGTCAGAGAGGAGTGAAAGACTGGGATATTTTAAAAGCAGCTGGGAAAGTGGGACAATAGAGGATCAATCAAGACTGCCCCTACAAAATCAGCAATAGAAAATTTGTATGATCACAATTTATGGTCCTCCAACAGCAATAATTACTTCTCATCACCCCCAAGCTCCAGCATCCATCTCAGCTTCACTCTTTTTAACACCAGGCCCTGCTTTGTGTCAGAGCTAGTACACATGATGTCAATGAGAATATGACTTCTCGACTATTTGTAGTTGTCTTAAGAGATGCCACTTTTATCCCTGCCCAAATTTCCTTTTTTCAGCTATGAAAGGTGCAGAAACTCCATCCTCTGTTAAAACTGGCCCCTGCACAGCGTACAGAGTGCAGGTTTTGAATAACTGTGCTCATGCAGAGATGTCTTTAATGTTGCCCATGGTACTTAAATGATTAGGACAGACAGTTCTGGTAGAAAAAAAGTGAACTCTAAGAAGTTCTTCACTATAAAATAGAGATAGTTAAGGAGCCATTGGCCAAAGAGAGTTCTGAGCCTCTCTGAACAGGTCAGATTCAAGTAGGCAAATATGGAATGTTTTCAGCTCTGCCATGAACTTAAGAGACATGTCAGACATTATTTCCCTGGGGTGCTCTTTTTCACTTTAAAGTTTGTTTAATCTGCATGAACACGTGTTCAGATTTTTGTGTACTTTTAAACTCACAAATACACGTTTTGTGTGTATTTGTGAGTTTTGAAAACTTTACGATTTTAAAGCACTTCCCCCAAATATAATAAAACACTTTTTGTGCATTTTTCAGATATACATTTTTCAGATATTTCAGATGTATAGTGTATGTGCATTTTCCAAATATTTATCTTTTTCATGTGCAGTGTTTCAAACGTGTATATTTTTGTATGTAGGTTTCATGATTTCAAAGTGCATTGTGAATGCCAAAAATGTACATATTTCAACAGCACGTAACATTCCAGTCCATCTTTAGGTTTGGAAACTGAAAATATGATAAATCTTATTAATATCTAAACCAGACAAAATTTCTCACCAAATACCAGAATAGATACTCACTCTCCATTGGGAAGCGGTTTGGTTGACAGCGATAGTACTGATTTTTTGGAACTAAAATCTGCACAGCTCATGGAAACAGAATTAATTACTGAACCAATTGTCTTTCTTTTCTTTCATTTTTAATAGTATGTACAATTCTGTAGCTGTGCAAGCTCTGGCATTGAAAATGCCACAAAGACCAATACAACAAGCAAGACTCGAGCCAGTGAACAAATAATGGCTGCAGTCTAACTAAAGCTATATTTTTAGTCCAAAGGGATGAGTTAGCTGTGAAACCAATGAAACCATCTTGTCATAAATGTAGTAACTGAAGCCCCACGGTTTTCAATGGGACTGATTTAATGGTTGAAAATTGTCCATATGTGAATATAGACCTCAGGGTGATGGTTGAAAAAGTGTAAAATAGTGGAATCTGAACATACAAAACAAATAATGGATGTCTCTGTATTAGAGTAGGCCTCCAAATTTCATAGACCTCCAGATGCTGTTGGACTGCAATTTCTACCAGCCTTCACACTTAGGAATATTGCCTAGGACTGAGAGCAGTGGTGTCGCTGAGGTTGATGTCACCTGGTTCGGGTGTATGTGAACTGCCTTCCCCCCCTCCCCACTGGCCACCCAGACCACTGTTTAGGAGGGCAGTACTGTGGCTTCCAGAGCACCATTCAGGGTTCAGCAGGGCTGTTCTCTGAGCAGCTGTGCCAGACCCCTGAAGGCTTGCACTCTCCAAGCAGCTGTGCCAGACCCTGAAAGTACTGCCCCCCCAGGACTGCATTTTCTTTCTCCATGTATTAAAAGGTATATATTTGTGTCATTGCATATTAAAAGAACAAATCTACACTTCATCTTATATTTATCATGATGAAGACCTTTTCTAATGAATTTCACATTTTTTCCACTAATCCTATAAATATGGGCATTGAACTATGACAATGATATATGTTTATTCATTGTGAAAGGCATTTGCATGTTTACAAAAGGGTTCAGGATGGCTGGCCTTGTCTGAACTTTAATGAAATATAAATAACTTTTTAATGTATTGATATATAGAATTAATTTTAATTAAAATTTGTGCTGGAAATTGTGTTTATATCTAACACTGTTTCAAGACTGAAGTCTCAGCTGCCCATAAAATTGAATGCTTTATTAAGTAATGCCTTTAAGTAATATGGAAAACCTGCAGTCCTCTAGTTTTCATGAAAGCTTGGCAGACATGATACAAATGATGGCGACTTGCAGAATTTTAAGATAAACATTTTGTTCTGCCTGCAAGTCAGCAAAAGAGCACTGACTTACTATATAAAATAGTCTTCTCATTAAAGAAAATGGATTAACACTCACAATCACCAGTACAAGAAGTAGGGTCAGCTAACAAAGCAGTCATCAGAGAATCTAATTTTAGTATTAAAAGCCATACATCTATGACTGATGATCTATTAGACTGAAACCTTATTATGCCAAAGCAGGCTAAAAACCTGATGTGAATAAATTATTCCTTATTTGTATGACTGCAAGTTTTATACATTTTACCAAAATGCATCCAGAGTTTTTCTAGAGACAATTTGTAAGGCCAAGGTAGATGCAAATGCATCTGTGCTTTTAATATGCTGCTATCTGTAGGTCTGTAGCAGCCATGTAAGGGGATTTAACCCCTTTAATTCTTGCTACAGTGGTGGGGGAAATCCTTCCATCCATTTGGTCTCAAAAAATTTTGGGGGGGGAGGGGGCAATACTTTCATGAGCCAAAAACAAACCAGAGAAGAGTCCGGTGAAATGCCTTATAGCTTTGGCGATTTTGCCTTTACTCCCAAAAACTAAAAACTGGACTAGGGGCATAGGAATTGGCAGAGGCATGTGGCTATCTGAGGTCCCAAGCTTGTGCCAACTCCCAGATCTCTCGAAGTTTCTCACCCTGCTCTAACACATTCTAATCAATTAATATCACTTCCTAGTTAACAGGATATTTTTCATAGTGTGATGATGAATTGAAATATGTTCCTTTTCAAACCATCACAGAGTTGAAACTTTAGATAGGAATCTGAAGCATGCAATTTATTACAGGTCATTAAAGAGCTTTATGGGATGTCTACCAGCCTCACTTTCCCCAGAACCCAATAGCACTGAGATGCAAGCAAGCCTTCCAGCTGAATATTGCAGTTAAGGAGATTGGCAGTATGTGTGACTGGGCAATGGACTAAATATTTTGGATATCATGTGATAATACAATTTTGGACTTCTGTAATATATATCCAAGTTTGTAATATAGTTTTATGAGTATGTTAAAAGTGTTATTGTTATTCCATTATATGTGATACTGTATTGAAGTGGGTACTGACTTTTTTTGGTTAAATATGTTTGAAATATCCAGTCAAAATTTATTATGAAATGGATAGAATCACTCCTTTAAACCCAGAAGGCTCAATCTACATTTTAACACATAACAACCTAAATTACAATATATGTACAGCAGGAATGATTCTATGTCCTAAAACCAATCATTTACCTCTACTGTTTACTTACTTGTTGCTTCCATTTCAATTGATGAGGACCTGCCTCCCAGTAGTTCCACCTTGAAGCATAGAAACCTGTTCCAGAGGGCACAAAGTCCCCTAGAGCATGTTTTGGCATCACAGAAGGAAATAGAAATGAAATTGTGCTTTTACGGGCACTAGATATTAAAGTCTGCTATTGTGTGCCTTCAAATAATCTCCAACTTATGCCAAGCCTATTATAAGGTTTTCTTGACAAGGTTGGTTCAGAGCAGGTTTGTTGTTACCTTCCCCTAATGCTGAGAGTGTGTGACTTGCTCAAGGTCACCAAGTAGATTTCCATGGCTGGGCAGGGATTTGAACCCTGCTCTCCTGGAGTCCTTATCCAACACTCGAACCACTTAACTACACTGGCTGAATGCCAGCACTGGTAAAATGTAAGATAATTACAATAAACTAGACCTGGCCTATAGAGTGAGCAAGTGGGAGGTGGCAATGAATTATTTGAAGTCTGTATTTTGCCATGCAACTACATGTTTCTTTGAAGGCAATTTGAAAAGAATCATGCTTAACAAAACAATGATTTTTGTAATAGACTGTCTTTTTTTAAATAGACTGTCTTCTATACACACAATTCCTCTTTTTGTTTTTGTTGTGTGCCTTCAAGTCATTTCCAATTATGGTGACGCTAAAGTGAACCTATCACAGAGTTTTCTAGGCAAGTTTCTTCAGAAGGGTTTGCCACAGCCATCCTCTGAGGCTGAGAAAGTGCGACTTGCCCAAGGTCACCCAGTGGGTTTACATGACCAAGCCAAGATTCAAACCCTGGTTTCCTGAGTCAGGTCCAAAGCTCAAACCATTACACCACACTGGCTCATGTAATTCCTGTACAATTCCTGTACAGACACCAAATTATGGAAGCAATCAACATGTGAAGGAAGGAGCAGGATTATTTCCTCTGGTCTCACTTAACTGGCTTCTACACAAAGATTTGTAGTTCTACATGAAGCCTATACACATACAGACATCATAGGTGATTGGTTGGTTAAGCGAAAGAGACAATCAATATGTATACATCAGGTGGTATGGCTAGTTGGCATGGTCATGCTCATCTCTCTGTATTATTTGCACTCAGAGCTTTTGTTTGCTATTACAGATACCTTGGCAGTTTCTAAGCTACAAAAATATTTCACCTTTTGCCTCTCTATGCATTTTGTTTCCTCTATATCTCCTAGAACTGACTTCTTTAGAGTTTATCTGAAAATCCAAATAAATTATATCAAATAGTTCTACTTCATCCATCTTATCAAATATAGTGATGTCATTGTATAAAATATTGATATATTTCCAGAATAGCAGTTGAAACATTTTTAGGTATAGTAGCTCAGGCTCTTTAAGAATATTTTACAAATATTCAAGTGAGCCTTCATGAGATTGCCACAAACAATGATAGTACAGGTGGTATAGCTATCATTTCATCTCCAGAAAATGCAGCAAAAGTACTGTACTCTGAATTATTTTAACAAAAAGAATCTAGGAGAAACCTTTAAGTCTAACAGAATTATTTTAGCAGAGCGTAAAGATCACTCTGCTCTCATCCCTACAACCATATGCATTATGTATATATACAGTGGTACCTCTACTTACGAATGCTTCTAACGAAAAATTCAACTTACGAAATGCCCCTCCAGAAA